TAGTTAATTTTATGCTTAATTTGGTATTAATGTGGTTAAGATAGGTTGTTATTGATTTATTTGTACTTCTGTAGGTATTTGATGAAAGAAGAATTTTAGTAGAAACAGAAAAGCAATTTCAAGGTGTAGACTTCCACTACATATGTTTGGGTGTTTCAGCTATAACACTTTCTACAAATCTCCCAATGAAATAATTCTTATAACCAATGGAAAAATAAGAGAAAAATATACAACTTTTATGTTTACCACTTCATCCAATTCGACCTGGAAGATGGTCAAAAATCTTATCAAATTTGATGCATTGTAGCAGTCCTTGAACAATAACAATTTCTGCTATTTAAATGGTCCAGGTCGTGACTTTGGAGGTAGTAGGCAACGGTCTACATAGTCTGATGAGGAAATCCTAATTGAAATTGACTTCTTTCTTCACTCAACTTGGACTAACTTGAAAGTCCTATAAAATTAACCTTTTGGAGGATTTTTAGGGAGACAATGAAACACTAGATTGACAGCTAGGGGTGAGCAAATGTGAACTGAACCAAACTGAAATGAGTTCAGTTTTATAGGTTCAATTAGTTCGGTTCTTTGGATAGTTCGGTTAGGATAGTTCGGTTATTAAAATTAATTCTGTTTGGTTTTGGTTAGGAAAATTTCTAACTGAACTAACCAAAATTAAGTAAAGCTATTATGAGGATTTTGCATGAAAAATAAATCCTAAACCTAATCTCTTCACCTCTTTAGTTCCTTTTTAATTATATGAGTATCCATCTTATTTATTGTAATTTTTCATTATCATTTTTAATATTATTGTAGTATTGATTTATTAAACAAATATAACATAAATAAATATATACATACAAAAAAATAAAAAATTTATCAAGTTTAGTTTTTGGAAACCGAACCAGACTAACCGAATTAGTTCGGTTATTTGTATAGTTTCGTTTGATTTTAGTTATTTTTAAATATAAGTTCGATTATTAGATATCCAAAACCGAACTAATCGAAATATCCGTTTACACACCCCTATTGACAGTGGAGAGTCAAGCTACAAAGTCATTGAAACTAAAAAAAATTTGAAAGATTCAAGGAGATTTAGAGATCAAGAATATAACTCTTGAGTTTTTCTATCTTTTTGTTACTTTCTTATTTTCTTGGTTTTGTTGTTAATGTTTAAATTTTATTTGATGATGATTTGTAGCTTGATGGGGAGCGAAACTTTTTATGTAAGATTATAATTGAACTCAATATGTAGTTTAAATTATTTATCTCTCTATTACTTATATTTAATTGGAAACCTAGGTTAAACCTTGACGAAGAAGATTTAGGTAAACTTTGAATAGAATAGCGTATGATCAAATACACTTAGTTGATTAATTAGTTTAATTTGCATATAGGGTAGACATACACCTATAAGTCATACATAGCCAAAATTAAAGTACAAACTTAATAAATCTTTATTCAATATAATTTGCATAGACATATAATAAATTAATTGAGAGGTATTTTTATGAGAAACTTTACAAAGGTTTGTAAATAATTTAGGACTCTAGGTTAAGAACTTAATTCAATAAACTGAGTTAAGATAGAGAGATAGTACTTAGATGAAATATTGAGGGATATCATAATCTTAGGTCTAGTAATCACTAAAAGTTAATAAAATAATTCTGTTGATATATTTTAGATTAGTTTTAGTTTTTAGTTTATTAGTTTTAATTTTAATTTTAATTTTAATTTTAATTGTTTACATAAAATTAGAGTTTGTTAATTTTAATAGTTAACAGTAAGAATTAATTCAATTCTCTATGGAATCGACACTCTACTCATCACTATATTATATTTGCAATATGTATACTTGAGTGGGTTAGAAAATTGAACAATAGTTGGATTCCACAAACCAAGTAAGTTATGAAGAGACCTTAAATGAAAGCCTCATCATGTATCACTTACCCTTTTTAATGAGCCAACCTAATTTTTTTTTACTTTTCCAGTGTCAAGCTCATCAGTAGAAACCAACTCTACAACCTCAATTGCATGAGCAATTTGCAAATGATCTTTTCTTTTTGTAGAGGAATCAACAACATTAATAATGAATGCCAAATAGGAGAACAAATGCTCAACAGGAATAACATTTTTGCATGTCGCTATTAATATTCATAGTAGTCAATGAGCAAAACAATGAATGTAATAAGCAAATGGGCACTCTTTCAAAAATAATGTTCACAATCCATTCAATTCACTTTGCATATTACTTGCTCCATTATATCCTTGCCCTTGTATATTTTGGATGCTAAGATTATGAAAAGCAAGCACATTACAAATTTTTTCTTTTAGAGTAGAAGCTTTTGTTTCATACACATCAGTCAAATTAAAGAACCTCTCTCGAATAAAGCCTTACTTATCAACAAATCTTAAGACAGCCATTTGCTCTCTTTTTCCATCATCTTGTGATTCATTTACAAGAATACAAAATTTTGAATCACCAATTTCTTCTCAAAAGAAACTTTGGATTTTGCTCACACAAAAGGCCAACATCTCCTTTTAGAATCATAAGAGATATATAAGAGGCATTATCCAAGACAACTGAAACTACTTCTTTGCTATAAAAAGTAATCTGTTTTATGATTTCAACAACATTGCCACAATTAATTGAATCTTTATGTTTATTGTGAGCTCTAAAAGCAATACCTTGAAATGCTCACAACTTAGCAGCGTCA